TATAAAAAAGGAAAATCAAATCGAAGAAAAAGCAAGCAAAAAAGCCTTAACCAAATTTCAAAATCAAACCAAACCAAACAAAAAACAAAACAAAACAAAAAACAAAAACAAAACCAACTAACAAAACAAAACACTGTACTAATGTGGAAGTTTAAAACATATGCACATGTAGATTATAAATAAAAAATGTGTTTAATACCACTAATCCAAATTTCTACTTTCTGGCTAAAGTGATGAAATCTGCAATCAAATTGCTTAGGAGGATTTGACACGGTGAGTGAGTCGTTCACTCAGAGGTCACACGAAGTTACTGACAAGATGGTGTGAAATACTATCTCTACTCTCCCAAGAAAATGCAGTAAAGCCTGCACCCACACATGCTGACACCCATGCAGCCACTCCCCACATTTGCCTTGGTTATTGCTGTTGCTTCTTCCAGAAACTCTCTCCCCCATGAGTGAGCACAGATGCCATACAAGATGTGACGAGCAGGCGGATTAACAACGGTTAGTAAGGCTGTAGGACGCCACGTTTGGTTTAGCTTTACTAAAAAGAGCAGCCCTAGAAAAGGTTAGAAGATGAGAGAGTAGAGAAAGAAACAGTCAACGGGGATGATGTTAGAAGTGCCGCGTCCCCGCTGGCCAACCGCGTCCCGCTCTTAACGGGTGAGCTGTTCATTCTGTGAGACAAGAGGGTTTTGAGACTAGTCTTTTCATGAGCATACACTGGATTTGCAATTTTCTTGTGTCATAGCAAACAGACCCATTTCCTTTGACAGTTAAAATCTGTTATACTGAGAAGCATTAAAAAGGGACCTAAGTGGAAATCTCTTTGTTTTCACACACTCACACCAAAAATACCTCACCTCTAGAATGTTAAGAAATAAAATACCAGGATAAACATTAAACTAAGCACATGTTTTCATTAAACATCATTTAAAGTTCCCTCCGCCCCCAAGGTATTCTAATAAATACAACTTAGAGATGTGTCCTATCTACGAAAAGTCACAGTGTTTCTGGCTGTTTGAGGAATATCACTTTAAGTGATGATTCGTCCCACCAACACATAAAACACACAGATTATATTCTGCTCATGTAAAGTGGCTCTATTTTAAAGCATCTCTCCAACTCTTATCTTTCCATTGTCATTATCTTTTCTCCAAAAAGGTAACCTAATGAGGCCCGAAACAGCAGCCTGACTGCACAACAAAGTCAGGTCAAGAGCTATTTGGAAAATAATCAGTTAACTTTCACAAGCAAATCTTGATAACATGGATCTAAGTGAAAATAACATTAGAGGGATTAAGGATGAATTTCTATTAGGAAAGAAAAGCTCTTGGGAAAGAAACTACTCACGAGGGGACTGAGTTAAGACTGTCAGGAAATAAAGTGTTGTCACTCAATAGTCTCTTATACTTCACAGTGATTACCAAAATTATCTCCAGGAAAGGGCTTGGCTTTTTGTTTGTTTATTTATTTATTTAAGATTTATTTATTTATTTTATACAAGAACCGGGGTACAGGCCAGATGCGCGTGAGGGTGAGAGGACTCACCAGAAACAGAGCAGGGAACAGAACAGGCAGACTGACTGAAATACACTGCTGAGGGGAGCAGCGGGAGCGACAGGAGAGGTCTGCTGCGCCATGTGGAACCCTCGTCAGCCGGCCGGGATCGAACCAGCGGTGTAGAGGCTGCGGACAGCTTCACAGCATGGCATTCAACTCCCTGCACCACCAGGGGAGGCCCTATTTTTTTTTTAATGGGGCAAAACTGATAAATAGTATCTTGCTCTCTTCTCTACACCAAAAATTTCTATGTATAGTTACTTTCTGAGAAACAAAAAAACCCTTTAATAATAATGACAATAATTTGGTCCCTGGATTTGAAGATGTTGCTAGTTACCAATTTGTACCACTTCTGATGGCCTATAAACTGGTACTAAGCTCATTTATAACTCAACTTGTTTGAAAATTTAGCTACAAAAAGCAGATAAAGCTAAATTTACAGATTTTATAAGATTTTCTTTTCACTTTAAGTTTAAAAAATCAGAAAGGCTAATCTTAAGTTGATAAAAGATAACATTAGTAAACATTAGAGAATTAAGTCTGATGCCTAAAAAGTTTCCCTACAAAACGGAGTCATACAGAGCACAAACTCTCCCTCATTCCTCCCACATAATTAACAACTTTTGCTTTTTCCCCTGGCTACTTTTCGTTTCTGCTTACAAACTCCTTAAAAAATGACATGAATACGAAGTTAGGAAACAACAAATATTCTAATCCTTGCTTTAATATCATAATTGATGAGTTAAATCTTTAAACTCTAAAAACATAAGTGAGCGTTTATATAAACTCAAAGAAGTCAAATCAAGAGGCCATAATTTTCTTTCCTTAAAAAATACTGTCATATTGTCATATCTGTACAATATATTCTTATAGCTCAAACATATCCTCCATCACATACTGACAATGATACTAAAAACTCTGCAAAATGTATATGCCATGAGGTGAATCCTATCTCATGTCAAAAAGAGGTTTTAAGATATTTAGCCATGTGGGGAAACTACTCAAGTCTGGCCAATTCACATGTTACTGAACAATCCTTGTGTTTTCATTAAATACCAAATACAAGTGGGCCTCCTGAAGAGACTCTACAAGTAGTTTATGCAAATATGAAACACAAAATATGTGTGTAAAAAAGCAAGAACAGAGAGGACCAGGTATACAGAGAGCCCTACCTACAAGAGACCACTCAGCCACAGAGCCAGGGATACATTTCAGGAACTGTCATTAAAGAAAACATTTGCACATATCCCATTTTTTAAGCCTGCCATTTTGCAAAAATGACTACATAGAATAAATAGTAAATATTTACTGAACAATTTCTTTGTAGCCCTTCAATATTACTCAAAGGGTGCAGTAAAAATATATCTGTTAGTTGACCAATACAGGGTCACTTTCCACTCACTGTTGTTACTTGCTTGATATTCTTCAGGTTAAAGCATCAGAAATCAATTCTTGTTGAGGACAAGATGGTTGAGTGGAACAGAGTTGAACTTATGGGAGGCAAGTAACTTCTTGCTTTACAGAGCTGCTCTTGAGACCCTGGCTGAGTCTGAGGCACACAGAGAGAATGACAACCAGGGCCTAACTGTCTGTCGACTAAGCATGATCCCTGGAAATTGAGTCTGTCTTAGAGAAGTTTACTTTCTCTTTATGTCGTGTTCAACGTCTTTATCTGAGAGCACAGCAGCTTATAGACAGCCAGCATCTTTATATTTTTATAGCTAGTTACACAAAGGTTGGTCCTGGGACCAGCAGGGCTGCTGTCACCTGGGAGTGTATAAGAAATTCACAATCTCGGCTCCCAAGCCAGAGTTAACAAGATACCTGGGGTGGGGGGCAGAAGCATAGCCCCACTGGACAGAACACTGAAGCCACCCAGAGGACCCAAGTTTCAACCTTAACCCAGGTGTTTCCAAGGGCAAGACAGCACCTTTAGCCTTGGTTGCCTCCACTATAGACTACAGATATGTTACTTACTTCACTTACATAGAAACCTACCAAAGTAGGTTGTTTCCAGGAGCAAAAAAATAATGGCTGTTAAAGCTCTCTGTAAATTACAAAGCACTACACAAACACAAGGTCCTGTCGTTAATAAAAATACAGCTTAATTATACCTGCCCTCGTTTGATCTCTTACAGACCATGAGAGGCATGTTATTAGATTACTGCATTATTGAGATAAAAGGCTCTTTCATGTGTCACAAACCTAATCACACTGCAGTTTTCATTAAAAACTAAATGCTAACTGGGCCCCCTTAAAGACACTCTTTCTATAACACTGTTATTACCTTATCCCAAACACTTGATTTAGCCTTACAGTCCACTCTTTTTTAGGCTTTTCTATAATTTTCAAAATAAAAACTGTTTTAACCCACTGCCAAGCCTGAGAACTCAACCTCAGAGAGCCTACCTTTGCGGGGCCCCTGGCTTTTCTGGCCTGTTTAGCACTAGCCTCTTCTCCAAAGCAGAGCATGACTAGAGGGTTACAGTTTACAGATGGCATTTTACATGCTGTATTTTGGCTAAGAAAAGAAACCAGTCCCCCAGCTTAATCCCTCATACCCCTGATCTTAAAAAAAAAAAAGAAAAAAAAAAATTCTTAAACTCTAGCCACAGCATCCAAAGGTTTGTTAAACCTTTTTTGTACAAGTCAAATGAATGCCAGGGTCATGCTTGTCAGAATTGGGTGGCTTTAAAAATGAAAATCTAACTAATGGAATTAATCTATTTATTCATAGATTCTATCAAACCCGGAAAATCAGTCAACACCATAAGATGCTACAGTTGTCGGCATTGTAAGTTACACCCTAAACTGACTCTGCAGGGCTTACCCAAGGCCCTTCTCACCCCAGAGATGCCAGGCTGCCCCCTCCTGCTGAGTTGCCGTGCAGTCACCGCTTCCACTGCCACCCACATGTCACTGAGGCCTTATCGAGAATTCAGGCTCCATGCAAGGGAACAGTAAGGGATTAACACATGCAACTGTGCAGCAACACTTTTAGACACAGTTTAACTAATTTAAAAAAAAAAAGGAAAAGAAAAATCCCCCAAGTCAGCCCAAGAGCAGAGAATTAGTACTATCAGGTGATCAGAAACAAAACCAAGGCAAACACCCGCCAAATTCAATATTCAAAGGAATGATTATTAAAACCACCACTGATGCAAATCCAAAACCACTACTAAGAGGCAAAGGCTACCAGGAAAATTCTCACTATTTCCTCCAAAAGCGCTTGGTTTTGATAGAAGAGTTGATTTTAAGACATAAAAGGCACCAAACAGTCCCTTTATGGACAGTGTGGAAACTAATGGCTACGGGAGACCCAAGTTTGTGCTCCATTAAGGAAATGAAAGAACAAGCAGCTTGGGCTCCTCTGAGAAGGGAAGGCAGAGAGCAAGCTGCCCTTTTCCTAAGAGAGGATTCAGGGTGGATTCCTACCAGTCTCTGCTGCTCCAAGAGAAGATCCGCTTCTTCCTTCTCCTTTTTGTACAGAATCTCCATTTCCTGTAGCCTGGAAGGAAAATGAAAAGTCAGGGAAACTCTGAAGCGCCACCGCACAGCTGCGTGAGCGCCGCCATCCTTGTGGGGGCCGCCTCCTGCTTGGCCTTACCTTTTCTCCATCTCCTGTTTCATGTCAATGCCTTGTTTTTCCAGAAGCTCTCTCTGGGCAAACGTCCAGTCCACAGGCTCAGAGGGGGTCTCAGCGGAAGGCGTCTTCTCCCGCTCAGCCCGCGCTTGTTCAGGGTGGTTAAACCGGAACACGTGGTTTTTGCCCATGATGATCCGGTTTCCTAGCGTGGAACAGAACCAGGGTGAAGTCAGTTTTGAGTGTTGCAGGGTCCAGGTGACTCGCCTCAGTCTCCCTCATCCAAGATTGTCAGCCCTAACGCTGAGCACCGCTTTAGCCTGTACGCAGCATAGTAAGAGGCCACAGAGTCGCTCATACAAGTCCTGGGTGCACCGCTGAGGACTTCCCCCTTCCGGCTCACCTGAGCGCAGCTGAACGGGCTGGGCCACCCTCTTGCCATTCACGTAGGTTTCTGAGCGCTCACAAGGCTCAAGGGTCACGATCACTGAAAGGAACGCAATCTAAGGTTAGCGTGCAAGCCACCAGAATGAAACAGTGGGAAGCAGATGGCTACGCGGGTTCATGGTAATGAGGATCGAGTCCTGTGACCAGTCAAGTGGTTGAGCATCGGTAGTTCATTTTAGGGTACCAGAGCCAGTCCAATGTAAGGGGTCATTTAAGGATGTGACTATCACAGGAACATTTAGATGAGTTTGACAAAACTCAACTCTGGGGGATACTAGGTTTGGTGACAGCTTGATAGTTTAGTCTGTAGAACTGAAAACTGTCAGAAATCAAGTGTGGGATGTAGGTACTACCAGAAACTTAAGAGGAAAAGCTAGTATTTTGATTAAGGAGGAATGAATTATGTAGTACACAAAAATACCATTAGATTATTGTTTTGTTAACAACCTGGGCAAAAGTCAAGACTGACTTTTTCTTCCTTTGTAGATAAAAATTAATTTTACTGGCTTAAGACCCAGCAGAGGTGCTTCAAACCTCCCACTATCCATTTGTTCCTTTCTTGTCTATTAAATAATTAACATTCAAGACCAAGCCTAATTGCCTAGGTCCTGCTCAGTTCTTGGCAGTAACAAAAGGAGTCCTTTTGTTCAGGCCATTTTCATGTAAAGTGGCTCTGTCCGCTCCTGCATTTATAAGCAGTCCAGGGTTCCCCATTTTCAAATATTAGATAGTACAAGAAAGCACCCCTGAGAGTCAGGGAAGACCAAGTCTGGAGGGTTTCTCAAGACTTCCAGGACGGACAGAGTGAAAAGCTAAGCAGAGGCCTCACCATCGCCGCTGCTGCTCCGCTCGCTCCGGAAGATACAATGCTCCTCTTTAATGTGCGCCCCGCTCAGCACGATGTCCTGGCGCCGCTCGGCATCTGCCTGGCCAACCCTGGACACAAGGGGAAGTGTTGCCCAGGGCAATTCAGACACAAAAAGCACGACAAACAATGAACCTCTTTCTCCCAAAGAATATTCTTTGTATGTAGAAAAAAGGTACCAGCTTTTTATATCAGCGGCTTTCAATTGCAAATCCCACTTTCATATATGACCAGCCTCCCTACATCAGAATAAGAAACCACGGAACCACAAACCATGTAACTCGGGCAACACGAGTGAAGTAATCTCCCAGATGAATTCATGTAAGATGTTAGAAGGAAACATTTTTTGTAGAGTCTTTTAGGGAAAAACTACACGTTGACTAGCTTAGAAAACACATAATTTGGGAAGAATAGAAATTATAATTTTTCACTACTCCTGACAGGAAAAACAGCCAATTATTACAACAGATTTTTCAACAAGTAACTTCCTTTTTTTTTTTTTTTTTTTTTTTTTAATTTGGTCACGTAGGAGAAGGCTTTAAGCAACCAGAACAAGAAAGAAACATACCTTGTAATTCCATCTTTGATATAGTAGAGCAGACACTCGGACATCAACGGGTCCTCATTGAGGTTAACAAGATGTGGGGTCTGGAAAAGGTGACAGATTATCAACTGGGAGCAAGCCTGACAGAGAAGGCTGTGATAGTAACAGGACCTGCAAGAGGCTGAGGCCTCCTGGACACCCGGAGCCTCAAAAGGGACTTCTTTATTCCTGGTTGCAATTCCATAATGAAGAGAAAACATTCCCTTCAGACCTTCCAAAACTGCTCTAATACCCCCCTTAAAAACATGGGTTCTTGGTTAAAGTCTTGATAGGTGAAAGCATGGAGAACACAAAAGACAAATCAGAAAAGGCTGACTGCTTGGATGGTCAATCATTTTTGTAAAAGCTTGGGCAAAAATCGTGAAGGGCAGCACAACAGACATCCCAGACACACCACCTGATATGCTGTGACTGAGCTCGGGCAGGAAAAGTGGCCAGCAGATGGGGGTCTTTCCTGGACTCCCCTGACCTGCCCGGGGAAGGCCTTCGACAGGGACTCACTTCGCCAACCAAGGGCAGCCTGTGGTCACAGGAGGGCAGCCCAGAAGCGGCCGCTGCACCCAGATACTGCGTCACCCCCCATCGCTCCTCCGGCCTGGTTAAGTGGGGCTCAGAGCGTGTGCCGCGACACTCGCTGACCCTGGGGCTCTCTGTATGTACGACGTGTTCACATTAATAAACTTCTTTTGGTTTTTCTCTTGTTTCTCTGTCAAAAGTATGCCACAGGAATCTCAGTCAAAAACTCAAAAGGGTACAGGGAAAATCAATATTCTCAAGAAATATTTAATATTTCATTTACTTTATAAAATGTTCCCACACCTTTTCTCTCAATAATTTTTATCAGTTCCTTCATGGTACCAGTGCTTTAGTTTGTCTTTACCTTAAAGAAGAAATTGAATTTACTGATACATTATTAAATTACATTTAATAACACATCTTTTGAAAATCCTCTTCATTTAGCTCTAACATTTCTAAAATATTTTAAAAACCAGCCTTCTTGAGTGAAACTACCCTACTGGAATCCCAAAATAAGTCACATGGTCTTGAGGTCAAAATCTACTCAAGAGAGCGCCAACAAATGTGGAAAATGGAAGAGTCAGAGGAGAGAGTTAAGAAGAGGGACTGCAAAAGATAAATTACAATGCATTAGAAAAGCCTCTACAACTCTCCGCTAGTATCTGCCTCTGCATTTTCAGTCTTGCTGGGTTAAGAGTCAAAGCTCTCTGATTACAAAGTCCTTTGAAGGCCAACACTGGCTGAGCAACGTCAGAACAGGTGGTCTGTATCGACGGATGACTGACAAATAAAATGTGTGTATATTTAGGCTGCACAATGTGTTATTTAATATATGCACGCATTGGGCAATGATTTACCACAAATGAGTTAATTATCACATCAGAAAAAAAGTTCTGACATTGAATTTGTATGTGGTCAGTGCTGTATTCCTTATTTTCCTAAAGAGTTTAGAAAAGTTAAGCAAGAAGGTAAAATATAAGAAAGAAAAGCTCTGAAAACAGAGATGTCATGTTGGGATTTTACAGTTTATATCCCAGCACTTACCCAACTCATGACTTGTGTTAAATATTCTAATACATTGCTACAAATGTTTCTCCCACTGTCCTTATCACTTAAAGATGTCATCAAATACATTTAGGGGCATGGAGAGGCATAATCCAACCCCAGCAAGTCTTAAAATTCTATCAAACTGCTAAAATCTCTACAATTAAAAGTAATATAGCTGAAGAAATGTGTCTTACTGAAGGGAAACCATATTAACTATGAAAGTCACTGACCCTTGGCAATATAAACATAAAATGCCTACTGTTTCAATTCTACAATATGTACCTAAAATGTTTTAAGTCAATATTTGTTGAGAACAACACATCAGAATTTATGAAGAAGTTATGACAGAAAAAGCTAACCGAAAGAATCCTAACAAAACCCAGGAGAATATTTCATATTACATTAAAAAAAAAAGCACCAATTCAAAATTCCCTACTTATTTCCTCCTCATGCCCAGCTGAAGAGATCATTGTATGAAAAGGCTACATCACTGTGGCCAATTTGAGGTCACAGGAAATGGACTATTAATTATGGGAATGAAATACACATTCTGTGCATCAATATAAGTTCTATTACTTCCATATAGATAAGCACACAATCACTTGGTGATCATTTCCCAGTATCTAATAACTAAGCAGCATCTTAGGACCAAAAGAATCTTTCTAAGAAGCATCTCCGACTTACGCAGAATGACAGTGAAAGTGGAAAGGGGCCCAGTGGGGACCCCTTGGCTGACAGGAGGGGAGGTCAAGGATGGAGGGCAGCTCTGGGGGTGCAGTGGCTTTAGCGCGACCTGCTGAAGTAGTATTTTCCTACCAACCTGACAGCTGAAATGACCTCCCAGAAGCTATGAGTCCGGGGTGTTAGCACCTGTGGGAGAGTCTACACAGCGAGCAGCCAAAGTGAAGCTATGCGAGGCCTGGCCAAGAGCTGGAGACAAAGCAGCAGCGAGGATGATGGGACACACTGAATCGTGATGGAAAATTCCAGGTGTGCTGCCTTGGGTTCTATTTTGTAAACATGACGAGCATTTTAGAAACAGGCTACCCTTGGAGAGTAAGATGAAGTCAGAAACATCTAAAATTAAGCCACGGCCCAGGAGGTGAAGGGAACAAGGAGGAAGCACTTCAACACCCAAGAGGTAGTGTGGTGTGTAGAGGCTTAGAATACTTGAGTCTTACCTTTTTAGGTGAGAAAACACCCAGGGTTCCTCCATCTTCCCGAATGGCAACTCCCATTTCAGCCAGCAAGGCCTCCCTAGGACAACATCGAGCACATCAGAACACCACTCAGACCCAGCGAGACCAGCCTAGCGGGGGGCTGGCAAGTGAACAGGCGTAGCCAGGTGACCGTGAAAGCAGGTATTGCAGGTGGGAAGGAACCCACCACCCCATCTTTAATGAAAAGCTATTTTTAATAATAACAATAACAGCTATTTTTTAATAATAGTTATGTCTACCATCTCTGCAGCTCAAAGTCTCTGTAAGAAACTTTACTTGGAGCTTAAATCTCAGTAGGAAAATTATGTGAGACATTTACTGTATCAATATACTAGAACTCATTTCTGCCACATCTTCTCCAAAGAGGAGAGGCAGGAACTAACATTTTAAATCTATATTTATTCCAGTAGCAAAAGGGTTATTCTGGGCTATGTTCACCTTCAGGGTAGAGGTTGAGCTAGAACAGGAATTTTAAAAGTTTGTAACTCAAACCACTTTACCTCTTATCAAAATGGTTCTAGAAAGAGAGAGCACTGAAGGACAATAACGAGAATAACTTCTTTCACTTGGGCCTATATATCAAAGGCAGTTTTTTCACAAATTAAAAACTCCACCTCAGAATCGTCCATCCTTACAGGGACCCTTAGCACAAGCAGCTTGTGAAGGCCCAGGAATGACTCTCCAAGGACAGGCTTCGAGTGAGCAGACAAACTTGAATTTCACTTCCAAGTGTAACTCTGACCCTGAGTCCCAGCCAGGTTTATTTTTTGTTTTGGGAGGAAGAGTTTTTGTTTTGAATTTCTATTTCATCTTTCCTTACTACAAAAGTAATCCAATTTCCTTGGAGAATTTAGAAACATCCCCCCCCCAGAGTTTAACCTCCTGACCTCTCCATTCTGATGGCTTCTGTTTTACGCAGCTTCTCTTCCCAAGTTTCATTCAACTCAGCGATGATCTTCTCCGATTCCTAAGGGAAGAAGCACACAGTTAAAATGGCTAAGAATCTCGTGATTCGACTCCCAAGTCTGGGAGGGACAGTGAGAAGCAAGTGATATCTTTTATGGGTGGAAGGCAGTCTACTAGGATGAGATATCTTTCTTTCTCAGTAGTCAAAAGAACAGTCAAAGACTAGGCCTGACACTAAATCAGGGTCAGGCAGAGCAATTCTCCAGAGTCCTTCCTAGTGAGCATGTCTGTGCGTGTGTCCAGCGGGAAGGAAACTAACAACACCCCAAAATGCAGCCACTTCTACAAAAGAACAAAGTCTCCAAAGGTATTCAGTTTCACTAATTTCACAACACTGAGGGGGCCTGAACATGCCACCCCCACAGGGCGCTGTGGCACATGAACAAATACTTGAAGTTGAAGTGGTTTGAGAAGTGGGAGGTGCAGGAAGGGCTCTAATCTCCTGGAGCAGGTCAGGAGGCCCTCAGGAGAGGTGTCCTGTGTGGATCCGGAGGAGAGGAGCATCAGTCTCCAAAGATGGAGGGTGCTGAGGGGAGTCTGAACAAAGAGGTCTTGACATGCTTCCCCGTTGACTATACTCAGCTCAGGCGCCCCTCCCCACCACTGGTCCCATCATGTTTTCCCACAACTTTCCGCTCATCATCAACCTGTGTGAAAAAAAAAAAAAAACTGTTCAGGTTTAATGCTTCTTTGGGCCTTCATGCTCGAGAAGGCTCTGTGTGCCATGAAACTGAAATAAATTGCCGTGCTTTTTTTCTCTTTTTCAATTTGCCTTTTGTTACAGCGGCCCGGCACAGCAGGGAGAGAAGGGGAGAAGGAGAGCTATTTCCCTCCTTTACGACATGAAGCCTTCGTGAACACGCCCCAACGCCCAAAGCAGAGAGGGCTAATGCTGAAGACAAGCGGCCACTGAAGTGACAATTCCCCGTCATCTGCTGAGCGTTTATTATATGCCAGAAATATAAGAACTAAAGCATATATATGAGGGGAGCCCTATAATAGGGCTGTGGCGGGAACAAAATCCCCCTCCTGAGACAGTCTAGTGAAAGGACAGATAGCCAATCAGCTTGAATCAGTAAGTCAGGTCTATGGCAGACAGTGATAAGAGCTTTGGAGAAAAAGACAAAGAAGGGAAAGAAGGGGGGGGGCAACCTGGAGCGGGAGTGCCACGACAGGCCACACAGAGGAGGCCCCAGGAGCGGAGACAGAGGCGCCGCCGCGTGGGCACACGAGGGAGGAGGCAGGACGTGACTGGCATCCTGGAGGAACAGCGGTGTGGAGGAAGGAGAGCCGGGGTGGCGGGAACGACAGAACAATGCTGAGTGCTAGAGGTGCAGCAGCGCCAGGTGCTGGAGAGCAGGTGAGCCAGGGCGAGAGATGCTCGACCCGAAGAGTGCAGAACACGCAGGAACAGGTCAGGGGAGGGCACAGGGTAGGAGGACGAGCCAAGGGGTAAGGGTGCCCACAGAAGGCAGGGAAAAGTGCCAGTCAGGGAGGAGAAATGAGAAATCTAATCTCTTCTCCATCATGAAGACATGTGAGGTGATGGTGGTGTTGATGATGGCAGCGGTGACTGAGGGTGAGGAGAATAAACAGCTCACGAGATATTTTACCGCATGATTCATTTAACAGGCTATTTTAAGATGCCTCTAGATCCCCAACACATAATTATTTACGTAGAAAGAAACTGTGCCTATGTAATGCCATAAATCGCACAGTTCTAGCATCTAGTATTCTGGAACAAGGACAGGAGGATTGATGGTGGGGATGGGAGGGCACGATGATGAAGAAACAAGGAGAATGAGCAGAACTAGGCAAAGAGCCAACCTGACGAAAGTCAGAAGCAGCACAGGCCTTAGTAAAGAGACTGTGACGGGGACTCAGTGGGAGGTGCTCTTTTAGCAGAGTCCGTAACACAGTGGAAGATGCTAGAACAAACTTATAGTAGACGAGGGAGAGAGAAAGAGACAAAGCCACCCAGCTCGGCTCCTGCTAACCCTCTGAGCACGCACACTCTGAAAGACAAGGGTGACCCGGGAGCGTCACTGCACAGCTGCCAGCAGGGAGGGTCAGCACGCGGGCCACATGCCACCAGCGCATGAGGAACCAGGCCGCCACACTGGAGGCCAGCAACCCAGAGAAACCCACGCAGCTCTGGCCAAGAGGGGCAGTGCCACCCCCATGTGTCTACAAAGACCACGGGCAATTCACGGATGGTGCCACCACAGCCGGGCTTGCCGCATCCACATGTGTGTAGACGGCAAGTATGAGACCGGCTGGCACCACAGGCTGGAGGATGTTAAGGTCACTAAAGACAGCCGGGTGGTGGGCCTCCCCGGTGGTGCAGCCGTTGAGCGCTGGGTTGTGAAGCTGCCAGCAGCTTCTGCAGCGCCGGTTCGATCCCCGGCTGCAACCCGGCCACTGGAGGAGGGTCCCACACAGCGCGCAGACCTCTCCTGCCGCCCGCTGCTCCCCTCAGCAGTGTACTTCGGTCCTCCTGCCTGCTCTACTCCCCGCTCTGACTCTGGTGAATATTCTCACTCCCTCCCGCGCTTCTGACTGTACCCAGTGCTTGTATAAATAAGTAAATAAATCTTTAAAAAAAAAAAAAAAAAAAAAAAGACAGCCGGGTGGAAACCGTCATGATGTGGAAGTGACAATCTGGCATGCAAAGGGACAGGACCACAGGCTGCCCCTGGCCAAGTGAGAGCTCCTGCAAGGGCTCCCTCCAGAGAGCGGCCCGTGAGCCGCTGGTGCTGGTGACGGAACACGAACTGACCCAGGAGATCCTTCAAATGTACTTTTTTCCAAGTTGGTTATCTTCAGGTGACCACGTCAGAGTAAGGTCTGTTCAAGCTACTGGCTGTGTTAAAGCTCCTCTTCCAGGTCTGGAAACTTGCCTCAAAGAAGCAAAGTTACTGCCTAGGAATCCTCTTAACACTCTGCGGCCAACTGTAACACTGCTGCTGACTCGGCAACTGTACTGCACACCGAGGAGGACATCGGAATAGGATCTTTTTGTAAACATTTAATGAGTAAACTGAGAAAGACAGTACTTTATTTTTCACTATGGCTTCAAGTTGTCATTTTTTGGGGTCAAGGAAGCTATTTTTTAAAACTGAAGAAGAAAGGTTAGAGAAAATGGTATTTTCTTCACTGCTGGCAAACGTCTGGGAAACAACTCCAGAACCATCCTAGGGAAACAGATTAACGTGGGGCCATGCTATTCCCTAAGGCAGATCTAGACTGGGCTTCCCGACTCTTCCTTCAAGAAGGCACAGCAATGGGCCTTAAAGGAAGTAGACACAACCACTCCCCATAGGTCACGAAGAGTGGAGGGCGCGTCCTTCTGAGTAATGAGCTCTGTTTAAGTAAAGCAGAGACCTGACAGGCACAGGGCTTCAGGCACGTGTCCAGCATGCGGCCTCAGAGCTGCCCCACAATCAGTTCTCAGAGGCTAATTTAAGATGAAATTGAAATGGGGATTTATTTACACTTCAGAAACCAGGCACTTAGGAGACATCTTTGAGAGGCCTGCTTCCCTACAGGTGCTGCACATTAAAAAAATCCCAAACAGGGCGACATCAGGAGCTTTGTTTTAAGCTCCAAGGAACGCTGGGCTGAGGTATCATTTGAGTTTGTTCTCAAGTCACACACAATAGTCACTGTGCAGCCTGGTTAATAATTATGTTCTTAAGGCTCAATGCAATCTAATCTCCTCTCCATGATTCAGCTAAGGGAGCACTGAACCCCACAGAGAGTCAGAAAAGTCTCCATTAAAAAAAATATATATGTAGTTAAGACCGAGGAGCCAGAGGTAAGCTGGGAGGCTTGCCCATGCCGGGCGCCTTCTAGCCTGCAGTCCCAGCCCAGAGGGGAGCGGCACCCACCGCTGGGGCAGACCAGGCGTGCAGGGGAGCGCGTCCTGGCACCGGCATTTTGCAGCAGGGACCTTTCTTTGCTGGAGACTGTGTAAACCCAGCAGAAGGCTCACCGAGGAGACAGAGGTAAGCTGGGAGGCTTGCCCATGCCGGGCGCCTTCTAGCCTGCAGTTCCAGCCCAGAGGGAGCAGCACCCACCACTGGAGCAGACCGGGCGTGCAGGGGAGCATGTTCTCGCATCGCCATTTTGCAGCAGGGACCTTTCTTTGCTGGAGACTTGTGAACCCAGCAGAAGTTCCCCAGAGGAGCCAGTGGTGAGCTGGGAAGGTCGCCCAAGATGCCGGCCAGTACCAGCAACACAGTGTCACAAGGAATACGGCAAATTAGAAAACAGGCAGTAGGGAGTAGAAAAACCACATGCAACCCAGCAACTCCTCAGCAAAAAAGCACACCGCAAAAAGAAAACCATCTACCAGATTGCAACGACAGTAACTTGGAAGAACTTCTGAGCCTTCCAGATAGAGAATTTAAAATTGCTGTGATTAAAAAACTGACAGAAGTCATAAAGGAAAACAATGATAAGGGGAAAATAATTAATGACCAGAAGAATGAAATTGAGTCCCTAAAGAGGGAAGTAAAAGAAATGCAGGAGATCAAAGAATTAATGGAGACGCTAAAGAACTCTGGGAAAAGCAATGAAAGCAGAATAGATGAAATGGAAGAACGAATAAGTACTCTTGAAGACACAGAAATAAAAAGAACTAAAACAGAAAAGGAAGGAGAAGTACGAAGGGAAAAGACTGAAGAAAGACTTCGGGAACTATCTGACTCCATGAGGAAAGGAAATATAAGAGTTATAGGAATCCCAGAAGGAGAGGAGACAGATGTAGGAACAGAGAAAAATATCAAGGATATAATTGAAGAGAACTTCCCAAACGCGAAGAAGGAGCTGAAAATTGATATACAAGAAGCAAGAAGAACACCAAACTTCCATGACGAAAGGAAAAATACAGCAAGACACATCCAAGACAAGGAAAAAATAATGAAACTAACAAGAGGGAAGAAACAGATAATATTCAAAGGGTAACCAATCAGACTGACATCAGACTTCTCTGAAGAA